CCACTCCTCTCCCCCTCCCTCTCCAGTCTGAGGGGCAGTCAGGGTTCCCTGCCCTGTGGAAAGTCCAAAGTCCTCCCCGCTCCATCTTGGTCTAGGAAGGTGGACATCCAAACTGGCTAGGCTCCCACAAAGCCAGAACATGAAGTAGGATCAAAACCCAGTGGCATTGTCCTTGGCTTCTCAGCAGCCCTCATTGTCCGCCATATTCAGAGAGTCCGGTTTTATCCCATGCTTTTTCAGTCGCATAAAGTTCATCAAGTTGAAGAAATTTACGTGTGTGTGTGTTATTTTCCTAGTAAGATTATATGATCTAAATGTAAGAGGATATCCATTTTGAGGGCACTTGGCAGACTTTGCTATAATCTGAATATGATGAAGAGTAAATCTATTTATCTTCCTTTTTTTTTTTGAAGACTTTATCCTTTTGCTTTTTTCTCCAAAGCCTACATATACATTTTTTTAAAAATGCTGTGTCTGTTTAGAGATTTTCTTCATCTTTGAATCTATCTTTACTATGTATCTCTTTTTATGACCACACGAGTCTTTAATTTGCTAAGTAATATGGCTAGAATTAAAGCCAGCTATGGCTTTGACACCTGGATTCACTCAATTCCTTAGCTTTCTGAGAGTCTAGCTTCGTGGCAGAGGTATTGGTGGAAGCCATGTTTATTGCCAGAACTCTATGGAGTTTCAAGCCATGTGCCACCATCAAGAAGCTTGCTGTCAGCTATTTATAAACACCATTTAAGTGTTTGATGGTGGATCCTCTTAAAATAGCTGCAAGGTTTTTGCAGCTAAAGCTGAGTCAGAAGGCCTCCCTTAAATGAGAAGCATTTGTCTCTAGCAAACAGAGCCCAACTGAGAAAATGCTGCTACTAAGAAGCTGTGCTTAATTCTGTTCTTTTGTGTCTAGAATTACTTCCCAAACTCTCTCCGGATTTCGCGGTCCATGTTGGTGCCATTTGTTGCCAGAGGTGTCCACAGAAAATGAGAGGCTGTGGATTCATTGTGTGTTAAGAAAAATCAGGTTGGATCAAGAAAGACCACCTGAGAAATCTCCAGTAGAAGCAGATGGCTCAGATGTTTAAGTTCTACATACAGAACAGTTTCAAGACTGCTAACTGAGATGATCAAGTCTCACTGAATACTCCAATCAGGACTTGATCATAATTCAAAATTTTTTTAGGTCCCCATAAGGTTATCAGCACTCCCAGTCAGCAGGAAGTAGCCATGAAAACTATACCTACATTCCCCCAAAAATAGGTTATGGATATTCATCTTTGTTTAAAGTGTTGATTACAAGTTGTTATGGATAATGGTCTGGGAAAAGATTAAACAAAGAAATTTAGATTCAGAGTTCTAGTTTTGAAAAAGAAGCAAAGGGTGGGAAGTGCTGTGATACAATGGTCTTGTAGCCTGCAAAGATTTGTTACTTGTATTTTAATAAAATGCTGATTGACCAGTAATCAGGCAGGAAGTATAGGTGGGGCCCAGTATAGGAGAACTCTGCAGTCATCAACCAGACACAGAGGAAGGAAAATAAGAATGGCTCACCGATAAAAAGTGCCAAGCCATGTGGCTAACATAGACAAGAATAATGAACTAATTTAATATGTAAGAATTTCTTAATAAGAAGCCTGAGCTAATAGGCCAACCAGTTTATAATCAATGTAGGCCTCCATGTGTTTCTTTGGGACTGAACAGCTTCAGGACCTGGTGGGAAAGAAACCTCTGTCAACAGATACTGGCTAATGCTGGCAGTGGCTATGGAGTACATGATGTGTGTCAGGTCACATTTGTAGAACCAGCATGAAGGACAGAGTTTTGTGAGCATGCATTCAGAGATGTTTTAGACATAAGATCCTCAGAGATGCTGTGGTTCATGGGTTTCTTTTGCAGTGGAGGAGCGATGGGCTACATTCCTAGCACCTGGCCGCCCTGGTTCCTGCATGGCTAGCTTATGCCCAGAAATAATTACACAGAAACTGTATTCTTTTAAACATTGCTTGGCCCATTAGTTCCAGCCTCTTCTTGGCTAGCTCTTACATATTGATCTAACCCATTTTTAATAATCTGTGTAGCCCACGAGGTGGCTTACCAGGGAAGATCTTAACCTGCGTCTATCTGGAGTGGAAGAATCATGGCGACTGCCTGGCTCGGCTTCTTTCTCTCAGCATTCTGTTCTGTCTACTCCGCCTACCTAATTTTCTGTCCTATTAAAGGGCTAAGGCAGTTTCTTTATTTGACCAATGAAATCAACACAAAACAGAAGACTCCCACATCAGGTTTCCAAACTTATTGGCCTTCCTAGAAACTTTTGAAAACACAAATTATTGGATTTTACATTGTTCTTTTGAATCAGACTATACAATTCTGAGATCATGATACATATTTGGAGTTCTCTTGGGGCCATCATCCTTATAATAGAAATGGGGGTGTTAAACATGAGGAGAAAGATTGAGTTGGATACAGTAAGGGTTATGAGAAGCCAGAGAACCTGACTCTGAGTTCAGAACTCCTTGGTTGGAGTGGCTATTCTTTCTAAACACCCAATCTACATTTTCTACCTCCTCCTCTACTTCTAGATCAAGAAATAACCCCACCATCCAACCAGTCCTCAGATAAGACTCCGGGACACAATTATTACTATGTACAATATGTTCTACGCTATATACTGTACACTATACTCTATATGTAGGTGGCATAATAACCAGGCTAGCTTTTTTACAGCAAATTTTAATACATTAAATTTTAATAAATTAAAACAGCAAATTTTAATAAAGGAATAGCTTACAACACCAGGGATCCAGCGATGAGCAGGAGATACAAAAAAAGAGAGCGGCAGGGCTCATGCCACCAGATTTATATGTAAACATTAGCCCGAGACGAACATGCCCCACAGGTTATCCCATAAAAAAACTAAATAGCAGCGCCCCCATTCAGCAAAAAAACAGTTTAAAGAGAAAAACTACCCCCATGTTCCCAAATATTGTTTATAAATGTTCTTTTACATTTAAAGGGGGATATGATATAGATATAAATAATTTACATTGGTATGGATTTTAAGGTTAATTTTGTTATATGTATATATATATATATATATATTTGCTCTTGATTAAGGTATTATGATTGTATAGTTCATATTAAAAATGTAATGTACAATTAAAAAAATATAGGTTGTTAATGGATAATCATCAATAATGGTCAAGCTTATAGTCATGTTAGTTGGATTTTCTAGATATATAGAGATATATTTCAATTAGATAGATATTTTTCATATCTTTCAAAGACTACAAAACATGGCATTTAATGTTTTAATAACTTATGGTTTTTCATGGCAATAAGACACGTCTGCTACTGGCAGCCCCAGCTACTTCAAGAAAAAGATGGGCATTAAAGAGGCTCCTTATGGAGTTTACTAGCCATTTGGACAAAAAACTGCTCTTGCCTGGACTGCTTATCTGGATACAATGAACCCACAGAGAAAAGACTGCTAAACTTGTCTAAAGATGAGATGGTCTTTCAGAGTTCCTGATTCATAAAAGAGTCTAAGAGAAATTCTACAGGACACAGCAAAAAATAACTAAACTGTCTTTAAAATTTTCCTGCTTCATAAAAATGTCTGCTTAAAACTATAAAAATGGATGCCCCAACGATACAGAGAAACTTTGGGTGACTGTCCAGGCAACGAGATGTCTCTGTCATTTCTAGAGTTTTGGATTTCTTGTTTACTTAGGTAATATTATATCCTTCTAAAGTCTTTAATGGAGTTAAAAAATGGTTAATTATAGTTTTCCTAAGTTATAATAAAGAATAAAATAGATATAAATATTACAACTGTAATTCTTGCTTGATAACTGTTTTGTAATATGTAATCTTACTATATTAAAATAAAAGCCTTTCTTTTTTGTTTAAACAAAAAAGGGGGAAATGATAGAGGTGGGTGTTGTACCTTATCTGTTGCTTTTATTGGTTAAGTAATAAAAAAAACTGCTTGGCCCTCTGATAGGGCAGAATTTAGATAGGTGGAGTAAACAGAACAGAATGCTGGGGAAAAAAAAAAGCCGAGTCAAGAGTCGCCATGATTCTCCCACTCCAGACAGATGCAGGTTAAGATCTTCCTTGGTAAGCCACCACATGGGCCACACAGATTATTAGAAATGGGTTAGATCAATATGAAAGAGCTAGCCTATAAGAGGCTAGAACTAATGGGCCAGGCAGTGATTAAAAGAGTACAGTTATTTCTGGGCATAAGCTAGCTGATGGCCAGGAGCCAGGTGGCAGGGATGCAGCCCCGCTGCTCCTATTACTACATCTATACACCACATACTATATACTATAAACTATATACTGTACAGTATACACCTCACAAGGTTTTTCAATTAATGTAGTTTGCATAGATTCCCTTTCTCTTTCTCGTTGTCAGTTCCATAGTTCAGCTGACACCACTGCACTGTTGGATTATTGGAAATAGGCAACGTATTATATCACTTCTCCCAAAAGCCTTCAGTAGCAGATACTAGTTTTTATCATATTTACAACTGACCTTACCTGTTGCTATCCTCCAGCTCCCACCTTATATCTACTGTGATGCAAAAAATTGTTCCATTGCATATATAGTCTGTTTCATGTTCCTGCACTCAAATACATACTTTTATTCTCTAAAATTCAAGTCTATATGACCCGAAAAAGAAGCTCTTTCAAATCCCTGCTATTGAGGTCAAGAATATTTTCTCTTTCCTCCTTGGCACATCTATCATTTTCCTGGTGAACAATTTGTCACATTATATTTTAAATGTTTAAATATTTAAAATATTTCACATTAGTTGTTTAGATATCTGTGTTGAAAGACTCCCTGGTGCTGCAATTTAGTTCTAATTAATATTTTCATTTCAGGAATAAAACAACAGACTTATCATCCACCCCAAGTACTAAAACAGGCTTGGTGAATCAAACTGTTTTAATGAAATGGTTTGGTGAAGCCAATTCTAAACAACTTGTTTAGAGGTAAGCAGATTCTTTCCTATGCAATTTTATTTGAGAGACTCAATCCTTGGCCTTACACTTGAAATAGCTCAGTGCAAACTAGATGTAGCACAATTAATAGAAACCCAGAGACAGACATTGAGATTTAGCCTGAAGGTCAGAAAAATCCAATGGCCAGTCATTGGCTCTTACCTCCATCTCATTCTGAAATGGCGATCCTGACTCCAAGAATCTCAGAATGAGACTGTGTGTGAGATCTATCTCCTCCCATCTTATATTCCTCCCTAGTGCTTGGATTAAAGGCATGCACCACTACTGCCCAGTTTCTGTGGCAAAGTGGCATGGCTACTGGGATTAAAGTGTGCATCAAAACTTCTTGGTCTGTATGATGATCAGTGTGGCTGTTTTACTCTGACCTTCAGGCAAGCTTTGTTTATTAAAATACAAATTAAATATAACTACAAGCAGGTCTTCTGATTCCATTATTAACCTATTACTTGCAACTGAGACTACAGGATAGTCATCAGTGTCCTGGGATCAGACAAAGGACATACATGCCTCATTTAAATAGATCAAAGTGTGTGATGATTCATACTTTGCAAACACAGTGTGTAGAGGATATTACTGTATTTGTTTTATATTATAGAATACCACCAAAAAATATCTAAGACTATAGGTGACCAATGCATAGGACAAATATGGGATTCCAATCAGATTTGTGTACATACTATTGATACTACACATCTGCAGTTAGCCATAGCTAAAACTAGTTAGTCATAGCCCCATTTTCTTATGAAGTATATTGGGATATATAAAATGGACAACTGAATTCAAGACAGCATTTTACACAGCTTAATCAGACAAAATAACTCACATAACATTCCAGAGAATTCACTTTAGGTGGAGATGGTTATTAATTAGAGTCCCAAGTCATAGTCTCTCCAAGGTACTTTAACTATCTACCTACCCATTGAATTTGAAGAAGTCAGAAGCTATTATCTGCATAAACCTGTGTGTGAGCAGCACTCCCTCTACTATTGGGACACACACACATACACACACACAGACACCTTGTTCACATACCTCTCAACACATACAGTCTCAGTGAATATCCACCCAATCATATTAATCTAATTTGAATTCAAAAGTTCAAGGCACTAATGACAACTTCATCAATTTTTTAGTATTATAATTTTGGTGAGAAAATGACATTGTTTTTGTTATTTTCCATTTGGAAAATTATTCTTCAACTATGCCTCCTTGTGTTTTTGATTTTTAATAGAAACACATAATATTGAGGACCATGGAAAGAAACAAGTAATTTATACTCAAGGATGAAGATTCAGTGTAATCCTTTTGGAGGATAACTTGATAACATGTAGTAAATTCTAAAAATGTGTGTACATTTTAACATAGTAACCCTGCTCCTGTGACTATCCTAAGTTGGCGTCAGCAAGTCATCCAAAGAGCTAACTATTCCTTTAAATAGTATTTGGGAGCAATCACATCCATTCTGTGATATATCAGCATCCCACAGTAGCAGAGCTGAGTCATTTGACAAAGACCATGTGTCCCACAAAGCCCAAAAATTCTTCTAGCAAGATCTTTCCAGAATGTTTGCTGAGTATTGCAACAGAGTTAGGGAAATGAATGTAGGCTTTTACTGATTCAGGTTCCTCGCACAGGCTACTTACTGCTTGCAGTTCTGAGCTTGAGTTCACAATGCCCTTGAGTTTCCAGGCCAGAGACTGACAAGTTCAATTTGCTCAGCCCCATCCAAAGCCAAAGGCAATCCACTTAGCTTCTGTCTTGTCAGAATTCATTTCTGTCTCAGTATCTGTCTGCAGGTGCTCCCCACATTCCGTGGGGAGTCCAGACCACTTCCACAGAGGCACACACTTAGGAGTCTCCTCCCCGTAACAGGGAGTTCCAGTAGATGAGGTGGTAGGGTCTCCTTCTATATTTTGAAAGGGAGCAAACTTTTACCTCAAATATTTCTTCAAAATATGATCAGAATAGCTTCTGGTTCTTTTGTTCTCAGAAAAACAAAAGGTATTTTATTTAAAAAAATTTGTACCCTGCTATACATGTACTCACTTTACAAGTGAAAATACCAATAAATGTATTTTAAAATCAGAAAATAAAACAAACCGTCTAGTTCACACATTTTATTTCTGTGTCTGTGTGTGCACTCAAGAATGTGGGTATGTGTTCACAGGTGTATATTCAATCATGGAGGCCTTGGGTATCATCATTCCTTTGATACCAGTGGACCTTTTCTTCTTCCTTCCTTCCTTCCTTCCTTCCTTCCTTCCTTCCTTCCTTCCTTCCTTCCTTTTTTCCTTCCTTCCTTCCTTCCTTCCTCTTTTCCTTCCTTCCTTCCTTCCTTCCTTCCTTCCTTCCTTCCTTCCTCTTTTCCTTTCTTCCTTCCTTCCTTCCCTTTCCTTCCTTTCTTCCCTCCCTTCTCCTCCTCCTCCTCCTCCTCCTCCTCCTCCTCCTCCTCCTCCTTCTTCTTCTGAATTGGGGTCTTTCTTTAGTCTGGAGCTTTCGTAGTAGGCCAAATCTACCTGTCTCTGCCTCCCCAGTGCAAGCTTTCCGAGTGCCCACCACCATGCCCAAGTGATGGTGTTGTTCTCTTTTCACATGAGTTCTGAGAATGAAGCAAAGGTGATCAAACTTTACTCACTGAGCTGCCCCCTGCCCCAAGAGGGTTTTCATTAACCAGCTGAATCATATGAATGCTTAGCTACTTCTGATATATAATACAATTAAATTAATTATTGGTAATAATGTCTATTATTTTGAAGCCATGGGCAGGACTGTTTAAATTTGTAAAAGTGACTTTTCTACTTGTCTTACATTTCTTCTAAAACCTTAAACACACTCGAAGCAAAATTCCACAAAAGTAACAAATCACTCATACAAAACATGTATATGTATACATCTTTTTTTCCCAAAGGGATTGCTTGGAACATGTCAGTGAACTCCTAAAATCAAACTTGTTTAGAACAGAAACTTGCCTACTGAGTACCCAGCAACTTACTGAACCAACAAAACCAATGTTCTAGAACAATGAAGGAGCCATCTTTGCTGCATTAACAAAATAGAAGGCATACCATTTTGGCAGATAATGGAAATTTGGCACCTAAGAATAAAACATACAGGGTATTTTCGGTCCTTTTTTTCATTTTCCAGATCAGAGACGGTTGAGCAATGTAAAGAAATGTACTGCTCCACTGAACTCATTGGTGAGGGCACTGATGTTCTGACGAGATGCTCCTCCAAAGGTAGGTTCTTCTCTACCCACCACCCCTACAGCTGCTAAGAGGAATACCAGGAGCATGCCACAAGTACAAAGAAAGATGCACCTGGAGAGGCTCGGAAGATGGGAAGTTTGTGGAGGGAAAGGGAGTCTTCTAGGGATCAGGTCACGCCACAGTGAGCAGCAGGTATGCTGTGCTCAGAGCTGCCAGGCCCTCACATCATATGTCACCCCTGAGAGCCACTTTGGGCCTACAGTGGACTCTGCTTTTTGACAGGTTGTATATCGTTTCTTTTTCTGAGCTCAAGGTTCTTGTTTCTCTAGTTTATGGTCCTGCCTTACCCTTCAGGGAAGCACTAACCACATTTTCCCTACTTTGCCTGATTCAGCTCAGGGAACAAGCATTGGATACACTCACGCTCTATGTGTTGCCCAGCAAGAACTTTCCTTCTGAACAGGATTCTGATAATACTTAGGGTGACTTTTTTTTTTTTTTTTTTTTTTTTTTTTTTTTTTTTTTTTTTTTTTTTTTTTTTTTTACAAATCCAAATATCCATTTTGAAGGGTTGAGGTTCAGACCCTTTTCCCTACCTATCCCCCTCAAAACTGAAAGTGTTGGCACCCTCACCATCACTGCCAGATGACACACAAGCACATATGTATGTAGGCTAACTTTCAAACCAATAATTAATATTACTTTGCACTTACTATGGGCCTTTCAGCTTTAGAAATGTCTACCAAGTACTCATTAAATAAATCAGACTTACTGAATTCTAAATGTTTTCACTCTACTTACTAAGCTTTGGTATCTCTAAGATGCACTCCTGTCCCATTTGGCATCAGGCATCACTTCTGACTCAGGAAGCTGACAAGAGCTTTTCGATCTTGCCATCTGGATCCCATAGACTGCCTTAGTCACATGATGTCTGCCCCCATGCCCAGCAAATCTCAAGGAAACACTACTTTCAGTAGCCACAGAGGAAAACTTTTAGTTGGATATTTTGTTATCATAAGAAAAAATACACACCAGATTTTAAATCCAGAAAGATGGAAATTCAAAACCCCCACTAGACAAAGTATGGACCGGTAAGATCAGGCTATTTTGCAGGTAAAACAGGGATGGGATCTATCTGAGTTAGAATTGCAATGGTGGTTCAAGGGGAAGTATCTAGCTTATTATATTTTGCACTGATCGTCAAATGTTTTCCATGGTATTAGCTTACTGAACCTTATGAGTTAGGCACCATTCCTAAACCATTCATATAAGGACGTGTAACAGAGGTACAGAGAGGTCCCAGGTGCTGACCATGTGGTGACTAATTGGGAACTTAGGATTTGAACCCAGAGCTTGATCTCTGAGCCATCACGCTGTCACACCTGTTCACAGTGGCTCTCATGGATGAACGTTATCAGTAATGTCATGGTAACAGTGAGGACTGTTCAGAACATTTCATAAAATCAGCTCTACAAGGACCTGGATTTACCTAACCTGGCAATGTTGGCTTTGCCTCTTCTGTAGAAAAAAAATACATTCCTTCGTCTCTTGGGGGAGTGATTAGCTCTTCCAGATGCCTGAGTTTATAAAAAAAAAAAAAAAACGATTAAAACACAAACCTTAAGAGGGAACACTCCACCATGTGGTAAATTCAGTGATGGTAGAAAGGTTGCCTAAGAGTAGGGAAATGGGGAAGGGTTTTTCTGAAAAAGCAGGCTCCTAGGCTGAAGGGGTATGGAGAGGGGCAGAACTTGGTGTCAAGTGCCTTCTGATGTTGCTTTACACCTTATATTTTCAGACAAGATTTGACTGGATGAGGATGCAGGGATCGTCCTGCCTCTAACTCTCCAGCACTAGGATTATAGATGAAAGAGGCATGCTGGGGTCTGAACTCATTTCACTCCCTTTTGTGCAGCAGCCTCTAAGCTGTCTCTCCAGACCATGGAGCTGTATTTTAATAACTAAATATTTTGTATGGAAGATTGATTTAATGAGGGTCTAGACTTAGAAGACCTATCCCTGAAGTAGGAGCATCGTAAAGGTATGAGGCACCACTGAAATAACGGGACTATACCTACTAGTGGACTTTACCAGGCCTAAGCAGGGCCACTATGGATGATAGACAACCCAGATCTAATCTGTTTTCTACTACCATTTTTTTTGTCATTTACAAGAGCCTTTGGTGTCAAAACACTCAAGTTTAGAATCATACATCCTTCTAAGTGCGAGTTGTGCAAACATGTGAAGACCATGTCTCTCTGTCGCCTGACTGACTGTCCACATTGCCTCTGTGTCTATATGTGTCTCTTTTTCACTGAGCACTCCACATCCGAGCTTTGAGTAGTCAGTCCCTGCCCTTTCTGCCCAGCACAAGAATCCCATTATTTACAATGTACCCAAGGGTGCTTATGGCAGCAGAAAGTAGAAGCTGTGCCCTGGGGCAGAGGAAAAATAAACCTCTGGAAGTCTTATTTCTCTGCTCAGGATATTTTTACAAATGAAATCCACACAGCTTGTCACCACACACTCAATTATTTTTAAGCTTCCTGACCAGATTCACTAGAAAGACCTTTGGGGACTGTAAGTGGCGACAGGAAGGTGGGACATTCTCTTGGCTTTGCGTAGGCTGGATTTTCTGGGAATGCTGACATTTGGTTTGGCCAGAGAACACTTCTGGTGAAGAGTGAAGGTGAAGTTAAGGCAATCAGCCCCTTGCCTCTGCCGGATTCTTCCATAGCCATCACTAACCCCACTTCTTTCGTTTCCAAAGCCTTGCAACTGACGAGAGAAATGAAACTGGGATTCCAGCTCCGGCGGTCCCTCTGTGCCATGGACAGACCACAGACAAAAGGACCATGATTGGCTTTACTCCCACATGAACCTTGGGTCATGATTCAGCTGGACAGTCATCTCTCCTCTCCCACACTGACCAAAGCCTCAGCCAGATGGGGCTCGTGGGCATGTGGCTGCAAGTACAGAAAGGACAAGACTGCATGGGTGACTGCCTCAGGGTTTCCCACAGTGGTGGCTCTCAGCTGCTGAGGTCCCAGAATCAACCCAAACACAAGCACAGAGGAAGTCGATCCAGGTTGACTTTGTCACTTTCCATCTAAATACTAATGAAGGGTGACCATTCAAAGTACAAGAGTGCCTTGCCACCTAACACAGGGCTGTCATGCTGACCTGGTACAATAGCTTATCTGTGCATCTGAAAAGCTCTGGCAAAGGGCATGTCACTCATTTCTCCCCAGAACCTGGAGACTCTGACAATAGCATCTTCCTCATGTAATACATGGAACAACTTAGACCAACACCTGATGTCAGAGTAGATAAAAAACATATTTCTCAATCCTACAAAAGGTATTATAAATGTGTATGTTGCTTAGCAAACTGAAAAAGAAGTTTAAAAACTGTTAAGAAGCTATTGTGAGAGGACTGGAGAGATGGCTCAGAGGTTAAGAGCATTGCCTGCTTTTCCAAAGGTCCTGAGTTCAATTCCCAGCAACTACATGGTGGCTCACAACCATCTGTAATAGTGTCTGGTGCCTTCTTCTGGTCTGCAGGCATACACACAGACAGAATATTGTGTAAATAATAAATAAATAAATGTTAAAAAAAGAAGCTACTGTGAGTAAGAATCTCCTGAAACCCAGAGCATCTGTGGAATAAACCATTTCAGGAAAAGAAACCCAGAGTCTCAAGCTAAGTCTGGCATAGAAGACTTGTTTCCTCCGTGATAGAGTTCTTCACACTGTCATCTCTTGCTACATTCTCGTGTCGTGTTGGGTGTCATGCCTGACATGACTTGGAGAACCGCAAGAATCCTTTTTGCTTATCACTCAGGGCTTCCAGGGCTCTCGGGGCTCCCTTAATGGCCCTTATCATGGCTGCTCATGCTTTTCTAGGTTATTCTGGTCTCTCTCACTCACACAAATCTGCCTAAGACTCGAAGATCCTTATTATCATAAGTAACTTGTCACAGATGCAGGAATTTGGGATTAAGGGTCAGATGTTGCTGTTCTAAAATGTAATGTGTAATTATCCTTCAGCCTAACCCTTCCCACAACAGCACCCTGGGTCCTCTCCTTTTTTTTTTATTTTATTTTCATTTCAAGGTCTCTAATGAACAGTATTCAGAATTTTGAAATTTTGTCTAGGCTAAAAATTGCCTTATTTTCTTCATCGCTCAAAGTCCTCTGTCACTTTCCCCCTCCCTTCAACTGGCATCTCTAATTAAAGAAAACAAGTCAAAACTATGCCATCTCCCTAAACACGAGCAAACTTTGTAAAGAGTTTCACTGTCAAGTCCCTTGTCCACCTCTCAACATCTGCTGAAGATCTTAAAGGTGCACACATGAAAGGAAGAAATGGCTAAGTGCCCCATACTGCCATTAGTGTCATCTCTAACTGCAAATCAAGGTAGTTTGGATTTTGTAGTTTTTCAGTTTTATTTTCAACCTTATGTACATTTCTACATTTATAAGTTCAAAGAAGCATTTCACCAAAGAAATATGTTAAGATTTTATGTTTATATAATGTAAACAATCATAAATCCCAACATAATTTGAACAATATGTATCTCAGGCATCTTGTTTTTATGGATAGAGGTTTGTTTTCTCTAACAGTTGAACACTCATTTGTTTCACAGTCTAACCTTCTTTGAGGCTCTGACACAAGGCAGGGAGCTCTTATGGATGATTCTTCCAAGACTGTATCCAAGGATCTCTATGCTTTCTGTCTCTCTCCACTATCTATAATCCTACTATCCATGAGTGATGAAGGAGTTGAAGAGTACAGACAGACACAACAGATGCCTAACTGCCTACCTTGGAAATGACCATAAGACCTGTGCTCATAAACCATTGTCAAAATGGCCAAATGCTCAGGCTAGTGCAAAGGATGCTGGAAAACATCAAGAGCATTTTGATTTTAATCAGCAATAGCATTTTCTAGCACAACAGATTGCTCACGGAAGAAATCTGTTTCCCTTAACAGTGCCTCAAGAAAACCAGGTCTTCACTGTTACCAATACAGTCATCAGATGTTCTAGGTTACAAACTTTGGTTATTCCATACAAATTCAATGTATGACATGTGTGCTAGTTTCCTAGCTCAGCCACTTCCTTCCAGAATTCACTTAAAGTATAAATGATAATAGACTAGGCACTGAAATTTACCCATCCCTTTCAAAATTCCAAGAATTACTTTTGCTTTCTTTGTTTGCCCCTTATCTGAACAGAGTTGAAACATTTCTACATTAAGTTACACTCCAGAAAATCTTTGTCTCAGAATTCTACTCCGCATGGCAGAAAATTGATTCTTCAAGCAGTCTCTTTCAAAATAAAATGTCTTCCTCATCATTTTCTCTCTGTTTTGGCAGACAAGCAAGACTTACGTCATACCGTTGTTGTCTGAGTCTTTTTGGAGGTGGATCTAAGAATGGGGAGATTTGAATGGCTCCCAGATGAATTCTATAATGTTCTTCCTGTGGTAGCCTTTCGCCTCCACGAAATTCTAGGCAAGTCCAATGTGGGCGGGCTGTAGATGACAGGAAGCAAAAGATTCCAAGTCTGTCCCCAATGAAGAGTAAATATATTGTTCTGCTACAGTTACATCCACAGATAGGAGAAATTCCTGCTGAGGGTCCAAATATCAAAAATATTATCAAATTCTTAGTGCACATGGAGATTCAAGAGCAAGAAGTAGACTAGAAACTTGTAAGAAAAAAGAAAAGTCTCATTCAACTTAGTTTTTCTTCTGTGGATTTTTAATTTTTCAAGATGACATTTTTAGTGTTTCTTTGTCATAAAATTGATGAAGCTCTCATCAATTTTTATGAAGTAAGCCCTAACTTCAATTCAAGGTTAAAATTGGGGCTAAAACCTGATCTCCTATGGATGAACATTTAGACCTTGAGCAAAGCAACTCATTCACTTGGACTGTTCTATCACCAAATAGTAATGAATTTTCAGGTCTAGTCCAATGAGAGGGATCATATCTTGCTAATCTTCATGTGCCAACACTTGATACCTGGTCAGATATTAGATAGTATCTGCTTGGTTTCAATAAGCTTTGTCCTCAGAAAGTTATGTTAAGCACAATTGCTATGGTGCTGTTGAGACGTGAAAGCTTTAAATGGTGATTGGAGGTGCCAACGTGCTTATAGAGGGAGACATTTTCCCAAGAACGCATTTTTATACAGTAAGTCTGCCTCTCTGCTTTTACTCCTCTCTCCCTCTAACTCTTGGTTCTTCTACTATCCTGTATAATATCTTTGCCAAAAGTAACAACCTAATTTTGGAAATCTATTCCTTAGAAGAGTAAGTAAAATAAACGCCTTTCCTTTGCAATGTTCCCAGCCACAGACAGCGTATGTTCAGTAGACGGTAGGCTAAGATAGTATCATTAGTCATTGTGCAATTAATGACTAATGAATGAGATCTGTGGATTTCTCCTTTTAAATTACACAATGGAGAAAATGATCTGCGTTCATTCCAATTCTAGTGCAGGAATATATTCAGACTCACCGTGCTGCTTGCACATGGCTCATTGCTGCCAGCATTGTTGAATCTGACAAACAGCAACTACAGGTACTTCAGAAGGTTTGTACAATTAAACCTTTTTTGTGTGTGTGATGTGATCCAAGATTACAGTTTATTTAAAGATCAGTACCCTTTTCCGTTATATATCTATATATCTATATATATATGTATATATATATATATTTCCTTTTCACTAAAAATTTCCACCTCCTCCCATTTCCCTCTCCCCACCACTCCCCATCCCCCTCCTTCTCCAGTCCTAAAAACAGTTAGGGTTCCCTGCCCAGTGGGAGGTCCAAGATCCTCCCTCCTCCATCCAGGTCTAGGAAGGTGAGCATCCAAACAGACTAGGCTCTCACAAAGCCAGTACATGCAGTAGGATCAAAACCCAGTGCCATTGTCCTTGGCTTCTCAATCAGCCCTCGTTGTCAGCCACATTCGGAGAGTCCGGTTTGGTCACATGCTCCATTAGTCCCAGTCCAGCTAACTCTTTTAGCATCAGGGTGTAACAAACCATCTCACACCAATTAGTAACAGAACCTGAAATTAGATCTCTTTGTGTTTGTATTCACAAAGCAAATTTTCTACCTACCCTTGAAGAAATGTAACCTTAAAATGTCTAGAACTTATTTGTTTGATCCCTCAAATTAAATTATAAATGTTATGAAGACTTGGCTGACTTTAGGAAATTTGGAAAATAGTAACTAATGCAGGTGAGCTTTTTGGTTTCCTAGATGTGATCATATTCTTTTCTGAGGAATGTTGAAGAATCATACCTATTTTGATAAAACATGAAGAGGAGGTGGGGGGAGGCAGACAAGCAGGAGAGAGGGGTCTTAGATTAAAGTATTTGATCCATTTTAATTGATTTTTGTTCAGAGTGAGGAATACTTACTAATTTTGTTCTTCTACATGTAGATGTCTATCTTTCTTGGCATTTTTTGTTACAAAGGCTGTCCTTTTTCTGTGAATGTTTTTTATTTTATAGAAAGTTCTTTAATCTGCTTATAGGAAAGAATATTCCATATCTATTGCGTGGAATATTTTGTAGATACCTGCTAAATCCAATTACTCTATGATTTCATTATATCTGCAGTTTCTTTGCTGATTTTTGGTTTGCAAGACTTATTTCAAGATGAAGGTGTGGTATTAAAGCCATCCACTATTGCTGTATCACAATCTGTCAACTTTTGTGCATTTAGCATTTGTTTTATGAAATTGAAAACCTCAAAATTTAGTATGTATACATGACTAGTTGTTATGTGTTCTTGATGATTAATTTCCTTTGTGAATATGCAGTGGATTTCTTTATCTTTTCTGGTTAGTTTTGACTTTTAGTATACTTTATCAGATATCAGAATAGCCATACCCAGCATGATTTTCATTTCCACTTACTTAGTAGAGTAACTTTCTATTTTAACTCTCAGCCTGTGAATGTCTTTGCCGGTGAAGGGTCTTTTTGTTTGCTCTCTCTCTCTCTCTCTCTCTCTCTATATATATATATATATATATATATATATAATACATATATATAAGACAGAATCAGGTGAGTTGGGGCCATTTGCATTTAAGATTACAACTAACAGTGGTTTTCTGACTGCTACGGTTTTACAGTTGTTGGTCTGATTTGTTAGATTATTATTCATTTTGTCTTCTTTCCCTATTAATTGTTCTTGCTGATGTACTGCCTTAAACATGATTGATTTCATCCTATATACTATTTATCTGTCTCTCGTGAAATGCATTTTCCCTGTTCTATCATGAAAGACATCATCTTTCTTCTTCCTCTGTGTACACAGCATTTCTTTATGAGTTTCTTGTACTCTTGGCTTGATTGTTATGAATTGATTTTTTTTTATTTCTCCACCGATTTTCAAAGATAACTCTGCTGCATATAGCACACTTGGTTGTGAACCATTTCCTTTCAGAAGTTGAGATAGATCACCCCTTGCTTTTCTGGTGTTTAAGAATGCCGGTGAGACATGTGCTATTCTGGTGTGTTTTCCTTTGCAGACAGATTGGTTATTCTCCTTACAGCATTTAATAAATTGCTTTACCATTTTGTCACTT